TGGCCCAGGATCGGACATTGTTTCGTTCTGCTGTGCATGGGGTCGCTATGAGTCGGTTCCGACTCGATGGCACCTGACAACAACAACAACAAAACACTATGTCTTGAAAGTCTGTGTGAAAGTGCAAGTATATTACTTGGAAGAGAGTAAAACATTTAAAAGAGAATATTGAATACAATAGTAGAATTTATTTTTGTCAGTTTATCATCACAGAGAAGCTAAGAAAGAGTGAGAACTGGAGTGGGTAGATATTGCTGAGTGGTGTGATGGAAGCAGAAAGGCTTGAAAAAAGTCCAAAGACCGAGCTGATGCTGCAGACTGGTAAAGAAGATCTGGGGAAGGGAGCTTAAGGCCTGATTGTCCTTTTCTCACAGTCAGACTCTCATGAAAGAGATGCAACTTTCTATAAGGGTTTGAGGACATCTCTAGTAATAAAATGGAGAATTTCCTAGTATCTAGAACAAGTGATTGTTTTCCCTTTCTCTTATTCAATCACAAATATGTTTTAGAGAGAAAAGCAAGGGAGTGTAGGAAAATGCATGCATAAAACTGCCAGAGTAGATGTCAAACCTTCTTAGCATGAGAAAAACTAGGGACTTACAAATAGAGGGTTGAGAGAAAAGTTGTTTTGCTGCATGTAAGAAAGAGACCCCAGAAGCTTATATGCTTGATGTTTACGAAGGTTTACAAAGGAGCATGAGGGAACTCCACATGAAACTCAAGCAAGAGAGTGGGCAATTGAATCTGATAGTTGTGTGCAGTATATTAATGGCCAGCAAACTAGTAGCTCTACTTATATTTATCTCTCTCTTCAAATTCAATATTCACATTCTAAATTTACCCATCCCCTTATAAATATATAAAAAATATTTAAATCATACATAGCACTGTGCTAGGTTCTGTGGGCACACAGATGAATAATATATAGTCCTTACCTTCGGACAATTTGCAGTTCAGTGGGGCAGGCAGCATTTATTTGCAAAACGAGATATGCAAGATGATTTGGGAACCTAGAAGAAGGAAATATATTATGATGAGTCCCTATTAACTAAAAATTCGTTGTATTTTACACAAGCCTAGAAGTCAAGTTGAAAATGCATGTCTATTATGTTATTTCCTGATATTAATGTGATAATATTTATTAATTTGATTAGTAAATGCTTAACCAATGGGTGAAATGCTGGACGTGCTCACTACTCTATGCTAGGAAATTTCTAAGACCACTCTCTGGAAGAAATCCATATTTGTGACTATTCCAAAGAAAGGTGATCCAACAAAATACAGAAATTATCAAACAATATAATTAATTCCACACACAAATAGGATTTTGCTAAAGATAATTGTAAAAATGGTTGTAGTAGTACACTGACAAGGAGCTGCCAGAATTCCAAGTTGGATTCAGAAGAGGATGTGGGATGAGGGATATCATTGCTGACGTCAGATGGATTTTGGCTGAAAGCAGAGAAGACTAGAAAGACATTTAGCTGTGTTTTTAAGACTATGCAAAGGCATTTGAATGAGTGAATCATAACAAATTATGGATAATATGAAGAAGAGGAATTTCAGAACAATTATGTTTCTGTGGAACTAGGACAGAAACCAAGTGATGGTTGTTCAAATGCTGTAAGGGGATATTGTGTAAGTTAATATCAGGAAAGGTGTACAGCAGGGTAGTATCCTTTCATCATACTTATTCATTCTGTATGTTGAGCTTGTAATCTGAGAAGGTGGGCAATATAAAGAAAAAATCATTAAGAACCTGCAACATGCAGTTGACATAACCTTGTTTGCTAAAAGTGAAGAGGACTTATAGAACTTACTGATGAATATCAAAGAGTGCAGCAGTCTTCAGTATGGATTACAAATCGATGTAAAGAACATAAAGACCAATAAATAACATCATGATAAATGGAGAAAAGTTTGAAGTAATCAAAGACTTTGTTTTGCTTGGATCCACAATCAACACTCATGGAAGCAGCAGTCAAGAAATCAAATGACATATTGCATTGGACAAATCTGCTGCAAAAGATCTCTTTAAAGTGTTAAAACGTAAAGATGTCACTTTTAGGACTAAGGTGTAGCTGATCCATGCCATTTTTGTTTCCAATCACCTCATGTGCATGTAAAAGCTGGGCAATGAATAAGGAAGTCTGAAGAAAAATTGATGCCTATGAATTATGGTGTGGTTGAAGAATATTGAGTATACTATGTACCGCTAGAACAAAGAAATCTATCTGGGAAGAAGTACAGTGAGAATGCTTCTTAGAAGCATAAATGGTACGACATCAATCACCTCACATACTTTGGGCATGTTATCAGTAAGAACCAGCCACTGGAGAAAGACGTCGTGGTTGGTAAAGTAGAGGTTCAGCGAAAAAGAAGATCCTCTACAAGATGACTTGACACAGTATTTGCAACAGTGGACTCAAACTCAGCAACAATTCTGGTGATGTTGCAGTATTTTGTTCTGTTGTACATGGAGTTGCTATGAGTTGGATCCAATTCAAAGACACCTGCAAATAACAGCAACCATTAAAGAACACTTAAGATGAAAACAGAAGGTTCAACATATGCTTCGCTTATTGTTCCAGGGTGGTTCTTTTTGACAGTTGTAAAATTTAGGCGTGCACAGTTTTGTGTAATGCATTTTCCTTCACAATTTTCCCAAGGGCTGGGGAGTAAATATACTTTAAGAGAATCATGATTATTTTGTTGAATAATGTACACATATATAGATATGTTGATACTGTTGTTAAGTGTTGTCAAACGAGTTCTGACTCATAGTGACCCTGTATAGAGTTTCTGAGGAGCTACTGGTGATCTTGAACCTCTGACCTGGCAGTCCAGCACATTAACCCACAGCACCACACCAGGACTCTGCTATATAGATATAGATATATCCTGAGGTATCTATGAGGACTTTTTATCAATCACAAATATATACATACTCTTGGGAGAATTTAGTTCCACAAATAATAAAGTACATTTTAAATTCCACAAATAATAAAGTACATTTTAAATCAAGTTATATTTAGTTAATAGATTTTGTTTTTCCTTAGTTTCCTGCAGCTCCTGTTTAGTTAGTTTATTACAGGTCAAAATTATCCAAAGCATGTTCTACAGTGAGAAGGTGCCGGAAACTTTTAAGAAATGGACTCAAGCATATTGCTTTCAAAACCGAAGAGGTCTTCTGCATATCTTAATTTTTCTGAGACAAATGAAAAATAAGAGATGTCTTATGGAGGTTTTTTTTTTTGGTCACATAGACAAATTATTGCCTATTGTTTCTTAATCAAGAGTTAAAATGTAATCCGAAAATATGCTAATGTGTTTTAAGCATGTATTGTATTAGTTAAATATGTAAGTCCACATGGGAATGAAATCCTATACTATTTATTTGCATTCCAGGAGAATTCCCAAACCATCTGTGGGAAAGATTATTACTTTCCCCACAGGCCACTTATCCAACACTTTGCAGATTTGAAAACATCTGAAAAATCTATTAAAACTATAGATGGTATTTCTTTGATTTTTTAAAAAGTCATGTTCCATTGACTTGTGTTCAATAAACTGGAACAGTTAATTCATCCCAAGGAAGGTATTAACACATGTTTTCATCATTAAAACATTCAGGAGAAAATCCAAATGGAAAAGTTAGGGCAGTTTGCTCCATTTCTGTGTGGCATGGCATGTGGAAAGGGTACTGGATTAGGAGTCTAGGATTCAGGAGTCAGTTCTGCCATTGACTGACTGTGTGAAAGCCACAACTCCTCTGAGCTCCCATTTCCTCATTAGTAAGTAAAGGACTAGATCATTCTAAAGTTTTCCACTAACTTTAATGTTCTACAAATCCTATTTTTTAAGGTTATACCTGGCCTGTTTCTCTAGTCATTACATTTTTCTACTCATGCTATTTTCTTCTTCCGCTGAAAATAAATTTTGAATGGCAGTACCACACTGACTTTCCAGAAACCAGAGGAGCTTATTTAAGACACCTAAAGGGTTACAATTCAAGGAGTGGTGCTGTAGGGAAAGCATTGAACTGCTAACCGCAAGGCTGGCGATTCAAACCCACCAACCACTCCTTAGAAATCCTATATATGGTCACTGAGTCAAAACTGTCTCCAAGGCACTTAAAAACACAACAAGAACAAAGGAAAACATTAAAGCAAGAACAAGATATATATTCCTAGGATGATGATAATGCTTTCCAGTCTATGAAGTCTTTATGTTCAGGGAATGTGGGATGGTTGTGGTATGCTAGTGACTGACAAAGATGTGTTTCCACATATGTATGAACCAAAGGAAGTGGTACTAAACTACCACAGAGACTTGAGTTAAATACTGATTTAAGTGAAACTACCAGCCGCTCCGCGGGAGAAAGATGAGGCTTTCTACTCCTGTAAAGATTTACACCCTCAGAAACCCTATACAGGGTCGCTATGGGTCGGACCCGACTCGATGGCACTTAACAACAACAACAACAACAACTTGTTGAGGGTTACTAAATACAGCTAAGTGCTACTATTAAAAAAAAACAATGCTATGGAATTATTGTTCCTGAGGATCCATAAAACTCACACACTTAACCTGTTAAAGTGGCCAATGTAGCAGGTTAGAGGACATCAATTAATCTCCAACAGACTTTCTTTTCTCATTTCATGAAATATTGATGAGGACGACTTAATGCCCACATCAAATGACTTTATCTAAATGTATTGAAAAAGATGATTAATTGTTGTACCACTGGACAAAAAATGCTAAGACAGAGCACTTAAAATGAGAATTCTAAAAAGAAAGACGAATTGTGTCGTCTAACCAACACAGCTTGATTTGATTCCCAGCCAATGCACTTCATGTTATGAAGCTGATCATGTCTCAGCAGAACTTTCAGACTAAGATGACATAGGCAGAAAGGTCTGGTGATCTACTGAAAATCAGCCAATGGAAACACTATGTATCACAGTGGATTTGTGAAAACCGTATGGATATCCTACAAATCACCATGGGGATGGTATGGACTAGATAGTGTTTTGTTCCACTGTGAATGAGGTCACTATGAATTGGGGTGAACTCGACAGCAGCTAATAACATTAATAATACTATTTCCGGTTTCTCACCTAAACTTGTAAATTTTTTGGACTGGTATTGGAATGCACTTAGAAGGAAGTACTATAGCAATCTTCCCCAAGGTAGCTTCCACAGATAACTCAATTTCCAACAGAAAAGTGTGGTTGACAGGGTTATAGACTCAGTTTTAAAGATAAGGGAGGGCCTGAGAATATGCTGGTCCAGTCTTCAAATAACAGGTGAAGATATTACAAGGTGAAGTCCGGTAGCCAGGGACACACAGTTACATGTAGGTGACTGGGATTGCAACCCAGGCTTACAAGGCTTTACCAACAAGTCCCTTGAGAGAATAATCCGGAAGATTGCAGACCACCAACTGTTCAAGAAATAAATATCCAGGTTTAGGATCTTATTAGGTAAACTGGCATTATGTTTCTGTTCCACCTGGCGGTATTAACCAGTCACTCACATACTCTCTCTCTGCCAGGTCCACTGCAACAATATGTTTGCTAAAGGTGTGAAGATCTTTAAGGAGGTACAGTGCTACTTTCGCTCTGAAGCCAATGAGTGGGAACCTAATGCTGTCTCCTTCCCCCTTGTCTTGGATGACGTCAACCCCAGTGCTCGATTCGTCACAGTGCCCCTCCACCACCGCATGGCCAGTGCTATCAAATGCCAATATCATTTTGCTGACACCTGGATGATGTTCAGTGAGATCACCTTCCAATCAGGTAGGGAGCTCAAGGGTCCTTCAGGGAAGAGGGAGCAGGAGAATGAAGGAAGAAAGTGGATGTCCAGAGCTTCCCTTTGGCAGGTCTCCAAGAGGAGAAGGGTTGACCAAGTGGCTTCTAATTGGTGGGTAGAGGAAACCCTGTGGGTGACTATTTTTACTACTTTTCAATGTGGAAGGGTAATGTAAATTGGCATACTATTTCCTTTGCTCTTCTCTCTCACACATTGTTCCAGCAGAGATGTAAGATAAAGGATTAGCAACAACAGAAAAGAGCTAGAATAAGAGTTTGTTGTTGTTGTTGTTAAGTGCCATCGAGTCAGTTCCGACCAATAGCAACCCTGTATAGGGTTTAAAGGAGAAGCCGGTGAGCTTGAACCACTGACCTTGCAGTTCAAATGACTTTGCAGTCTGATGCATTAGCCCACAGTGCCAAACCAGGATGAGAGCTTATAATGTGTTAAAAATTTAATATGAATTATGACCCTTAACGGGAAACTCATATAATTGCTAATAAAATATTTAAATGAAAATGTGCAAAGATACACATTCATCCATCAATTATTCAGGTTTTTTAAAAAATAATATTTTAGTGAGATTTTAGTGAAAGTTTACACAGCAAGTTTTTGTGCTCTTGTTTGACAATTTCCACACACATTTTCCAGTGACAGTAGTTTTTTAGAGTAGTGTGTCATCATTTTGTGTTCAGTTTGTCCCTTGCCAGTACTCTGGTTTGTTGTTATTAAATGCCATCGAGTTGGTTCTGACTCAAAGTAACCCTATGCATAACCAAATTAAACACTGTCTGGACCTCTGTCATCCTCACAACTGTTGTTGTACTTGAGTCCATTGCTGCTGCCACTGTGCCAATACATCTTGTTGGGGTGTCTTCCTCTTTTTCAATGAACCTTTGTAAAACATGATGGCCTTCTCCAGCAATTGGTTCTTCCTGATAATATGTCCAAAGTATGAGAGACAGTCTCACCACGCTAGCTTCTGAGGAGCATTCTGTCTGCATTCCTTCCAAGACAGATTTGTTTGTCCTTCTGGAATTCTATGGTAATTTCAATATTCTTCTCCAACACCACAATTCAAATGCATTGATTCTTCTCCTGTCTTCCTTATTCATTGCTCAACTTTCACATGCATTTGAGGCAATTGAAAATACCATGGCTTGAGTCAAGCACACCTTACTCCTCTAACTGACATCTTTACTCTTTAACACTTTAACAGACATCTTTGTCCTTGAACACTTTAAAGAGGTCTTGTGCAACAGATTTCCCTAATGTAATACATTATTTGATTTCTTGGCTGCTGCTTCCATGAGTGTTAATTGTGGATCTAAGGAAAATATTGTCTTTGACAACTTCAATCTCATCTCCATTTATCATGATGTTATTTATTGATCCAGTTGTGAGGATTTCTGTTTTCTTTCCATTGAAGTGCAGCCCATATCGAAGGCTGTGAACTTTGATCTTTATCGTAAGTATTTCAAGTCCTCTTTACTTTTAGCAAGCAAGGTTGTATCATCTGCATATCACAGTCCAATCCCGATGCTACATTCTTCTTCAGATACTCCAGATTTTTGGATTTATTTGTTTTTCTCAATGTATCGATTGAATAAGCATGCTGAAGGAACACAATTCTGACACACAACTTTCCTGAGTTTAAATCATTCCGTTATTTCCTTGTTCTGTTTGAATGACTGCCTCTTGTATAGGCTTCTCATGAGCACAGTTAAGTGTTTTGGAATACCCATTGTTCATAATGTTAACCATAGCTTGTAATACTCCACACATTCAAAAGCCTTTGTATAGTCAATATTGTTGTTGTTAACTACCATGGAGTTGGTTCCAACTCATAGCGACCTTGTGTAGAGTTTCCGAGGAGCAGCTGATAAGTTTGCACCACCAACCTTGTGGTTCAAACCGACCTTGCTTTATCCCACAGCACCACAGCAGGACTCCTTGCACAGTCAATAAAGCACAGATATCCTCTGGTATTCTTTGGTTTCAGCCAGTATCCATGTGACATTAGCAATGATATCCCTCACTCCATGTCCTCATCTGAATCCAGCTTGATTTTCTGGCAGTTTCCTGTTGATGTACTGTTGCAGACATTATTGCATTAACTTCAGCAAAATTTTACTTGCATGTGATATTTATGATGTGGTTCAATGAGCTCCACATTCCGTTGAGTCACCTCTCTTTAGAATGGACACAAGTAAAGATCTCTTCCCATCAGCTGGCCAGGTAGCTGTCTTCCAAATTATTAGGTATAAATGAGTTAGTAGCACTAGTGCTGCATCAGTTTGTTGAAAGATTTCAGTTGGTATGCTGTCAATTCCTGGAGTCTTGTTTTTTGCCAATGCTTTCAGTGCAGCTTGGACTTCTTCCTTCAGAACCATCAGTTCTCGATTGTAGTTACCTCTTGAAATGGTTTAACATTGACTGATTTTTTTGGTACAGTGACTCTGTGTATACCTTTGCAAAAACCATGTGGAGACCATGTCTGACTTCCTCTGGCTTTCCAAGCGGGAAAAGAGAAACAAACTCAAAATCAGCCCAAGGCTGATTCCTATGATACAGAGATCAGACAACCTTCTTTACCCTATTCTGACACCCACCATTCCTCCCATAACACTTGTAGCACTCTCTGCTTCACATCTGGGTTCTACAATCCATTGCAGTGGTCACACAGAACTCATAACTCTACTCACGATTATAGGGTTTATTAGGGAACTGAACAGGGTATAATTCAGGATCAAAACCAACTCAGGACGCAGCAGTTCTCTAGTCAGGAAGGCCTCTTTTTTACCATACAGCAGGCATGTCTCACTCTTGTTTTCAGCCTCTCAGCCTTGGTCTCTGCCCTGCTGCAAAGTTATTTTAGCCAGCCTGTGAATGTCCAAAGGACACATTCTGGAAGCTAGTCTCCTGCCCATAGGCACTCAGCTTTCTTTACTTAGTCCATAGTCCATGCTCTGTCTCTCCATACCACTGCCTCTGCCGTGACCTCTTGTCACCACCTCTCAAGTTGCTGTTTCTCTAGGTAGGGATCTCATGTGTCACTCATGCTTTTCCTTTCTTGATGGTCCTGGGATCTTCTTCTGAGATGGCTCCTAGCTGGAGGGCAAAACTAACCAATCCCAGCTTTGTTGTTGTTGTTGTTATATGGTGTGGAGTCAGTTCTGACTTATTAGCGACCCTGTACAGGGTTTCTAAGGCTGTAAATCTTTATGGGAGCAGAAAGCCTCATCTTTCTCCCGTGGAACAGCTGGTAGTTTCAAACTGCTGACCCTAAGGTTAGCAGCCCAATTTGTAACCACTACGCATAGAGTCCTGTATATAAGGAGTCCTGTGTGGTGCTATGGATTAATATGCTGGACTGCAAAGTTGGTTTGAACTGTAAGGTCGGTGGTTCATGCTCCCCAGTCTCTTCTCTGAAACCCTAGATAGGGTTGCTATAGGTCAGAACCAACTCGATGGCACTTAAGAACAACAACAATACCTTATTTACCTGGTCCCACCCAATCACTTGGTGGGAATTAAGGTGATTTGGGATAGAAAACCCATATTAGATAAATTCAAGGTACCACCACTTTCCATCTTCATTTGATACTTTCTGCATTATTAGATATTTTGTCCATATAATCCTTTAATGTTGCTAGTATAGCCTTGAAATTTTGCTTCAGTTATTTTAGCTTGAGAAATGCTGAGTGTGTTCTTTCCTTTTATACATTTCATTATAATTTTTTACTTTGTTTTCTCATGTTGCCTTTTGATATTTTCTGTTCAACTCTTGACTTCCCCATTTCTTCCATTAGCTTTTGCATCTCTGTGCTCATTTCAGAGTATTTTCTGGCATCCATTTTGGTCTTTTCTGGTTTTTTTTATTATTATTATTATTTTTTAATGGCCTTTTGCTTTCTTCCTGTGTGATGTTCTTGATGTCATCCCACAACTCTTCTGGTCTTCTATTATTAGTGTCTAATGCATCAAATCTGTTCTTGAGATGGGCTTTTGTGAACTTGTTTTAATTTTCTTCAGCTTCAACCTGAAATTGCTTTTGAGCAATTGATTTTCTGTTCCACAGTTGGCATCTGGCCTTGTTTTAACTGATGATATTCAACTCGCAAGCCCTATACAGGGTCACTATGAGTTAGAACAGACTGGACTGCACTTAACAACGACAATAACAAACAGTTCAGTGAGTGAGTGTTTCCAGCACTGTATTCATAAGCTGAAATACTTCAGTTGGTATTCCATCAGTTCCTGGAGTCTTATTTTTTTTTTTGCCAGTGCCTACAGTGCAGCTTAAACTTCTTCCTTAAACACCATTCGTTCTTGATGACATGCTTGACCACATCAACCATCTCCTTTCTGGTACTGTGACTCTGTTTCCCTTCATCTTTATTTGACGTTTCCTTTATTCTTTAATATTTTGTCCATGTTATTGTTGTTAGGTGCTGTGGAGCTGGTTCTGACTCACAGCTGCCCAATGTACAACAGAAGGAAACACTATCAGATCCTGTCCTATCCTCACAATTGCTGTTGTGTTTGAGCCCATTGTTATTGCCATTATGTGCCATTGTTTCAGTCCATCTCAATTGGGTCTTCCTCTTTTTCATTGACCCTCCACTTTACCAATCATGATGCGCTTCTCCAGGGACTGATCCTTCCTGACAACATGTTCAAAGTACGAGAGATGAAGTTTTACCCTCCTCGCTTTTAAGAAGCAATCTGTCCATACTTCTTCCAAAACAAATCTGTTCATCCTTCTGGCAGTCCATGGTATTTTCAGTATTTTTGCCACCATCATAATTCAAATGTTCTCTACCTATACAGTTCTCTAATATTTCAAGTTAAGGCTTGAATTTATTCTTCAGGTTTTGTAGCTTGAGCAATGCTGAGGGTATTTTTCCCCTTTGATTTTATAACTTCAGGTCTTTGCACATTTCATTAATGACTTGTCTATGTAGATGGCACAACCTTGCTTGCT